TCCGTATACATATGTGGATCAATCTAAAGATAACTACTTACTTGCGCACCGTAGGATTCGTCGTCAGAAGCGGGCCGTCAAAACCGATGGTACAAGCCAATGCCTGGTGGCATGGCGGCTGCTGCGAATTCAACAGTCTACCGAAATACGGCATTCATGATGGCCCATTGATGCTACAACTCTGGAGCCGGTGCATTGGAACCTCTCAGTAACTTTAAACGCGGCTCCGAGGCAACTCGAAAAAAGTCTGTACGCATGTTGGCTCAATTGAAAAAATATTGGCCTTCCGACCACGCGATCGTAAAGCACGGCTCTAGCCAACGTTAGGATCACATTTGGTTCGCGACTCCCACCCCACTATTGAAGCCCGTAGGCTTTCCCACCATCTCTGCGATGTAAAGCAAGTTCTGATGATAACAGGGTGCTGCCATGAGGATGCACAAAATGTGCAAATATATCGATGTTCAGTGCTCACGCTTCAGAATCTTCACCAACTTCCTCGTGGGATGAGGGAATTGTATCTGGCTGCCCTGTGAGAAGAGAGCTGGCTTGAACTCATCGGGGAGATTTCCCATCACGACCCTGCTGTTACGGAAGAATTTGATGTTCTTACTGAGGCCCTGGCGGTCGCACCAGCCCACGGTGCAGACCTTCGAGGACTTCACCGGCCACGCCTGAAAACCGTCGAACGCCGCACGAAGGCGGAGCGCGGCAGAGGGAGTCAGCGCGTTCACTATGGCGTATCCGAGGGTCTGTCTCGTGGCAAAGTCGCGCGGCAGGTACACCAGGTCGTACTCTCCACCGAAGCCCTGCGAGCTCAGGAGGTCCAGCAGCGCGCCCCGCGAGAGCAGGTACGGCACGTTGCGCAGCAGCACGGAGGTGCGCCACTCGCCGGCCCCAGGCGCCTCTGGCGGGCCCGGGCCCCGGCCGGCCGCGCGGGGGGGCCCCCGGCCGGACGCTGCTGCCGGGCCGTGGCGCGGCGGCGCGGGCGTCAGAGTCGGGGAGGACCGCGTGCGTCGCAGCGCCTCCCCGAGGTCGTCGTCCGCTTCCTTGCTGTGGTAGAACGTGTTCTTGATGACGAGGGCCGCGTCGCTGGACCAAGAAGAGAAGGTCTTACGGTCCATCGGGTGGCCGCCGGGCGCCCCGTGGCCGTCCCCGGTGGTCCGCACCGAGCCAGGAGAAGACCGGCAAAGACGGCGCGCTTCCTCTGCCTCCAGCTGCTCTTGCGGCTGGGCGCCCGGCGGCTGCGAAGGCCAGGCGGCACCACTCTCCTCCGGGCAGACGCCAGCCATACGCCCACACTGGCCCGTGCTGGGTCCCGCGTGCGCCAAGGACCAGTGTAGGTGCGCTCCGATGGCACCACAATGCGCGCTCTGGACAGCGGCGCCCCCTCGCGCGTCAGGCTGCTGGGACAGTTTGGCGGCGTCCTGCGCAGGTGGGCCCTCGTTGCCACCGTCGCGCGCGAACTGCTGCAGGCCTCGCCCAGTGGCAAGAGTCATCGCAAAGGCAGCCGCGGCTTCGGGCTCCGCGGAGAAGATGGCAGAACTGAGGGCGGCAACAATGCCACGTGGCGAGCTAGACAACTCAACACCTTGAGCCCACATGGATGCGGAGTGTGAGAGACTTGGTGTTTGCTCTGTGGGTTTGGCAGGGCTAGCTTTATAAACTCAGGGGCTCCACAAATCCTGGGAACTCGCTCCACAAGCCCAGGGGCGCTTGCTCCGCAGGTCCTGGCCGTGGGGCCCTTCCAGGGATCCCCAGTGGCCAGCTCCAGAGGCTCAGAGGCAGTCCCTGGAGGCGGTCAAGGGCGTGCCCGGGGGAAGTCCCACAGGGCGCCCAGACGGGTGTTCCTCCATGTGGCGGGGGGGGGGGGAGGAGGGGAGAGCGGTCCCCTGGGAGGAGTTACGCTGGGAGGTCTTCCACGAGGCGTTCCACGAGAGGGCTCTCCAGAATGTTCCACGCGGGATTGTTCCACACGGGAGTACTTCACATCGTGCCTGCGAGGCGTTCCTAGAGGGGCTGGTTCCAAATGGGATCTCCACAAAGGGACGTTCCAGAATGCATCTGGGAGAGAGGTAATGCTCGAATGGGGTATGCCTCGAGGGGGCGCTGCAAGCAGAGGCATTCCTTGAAGCGCCCGCCGCGGGTGGGGGCGCTCCCGCAACGTGTTCCACGACGGGGTGTTCCACGTTACGCTCGGGAAGGCGTTTCACGAAGGGGATTTCCACAATGGGGCGGTGCTCCTCGAAAGGTCGTGTTGCGAGGGAGTGTTCCTCGAGGTGTCATTCTACGAGGGAGTGTTCCTCAGTGCGTCTGCGAGGCGTTCTTCGAAGGGCAATTTCCGATGCGGACTTCCACGAATGGGAAGGGGTCCTTGACGCGCTCGCGGGGGCCTTCAGGCCAACGCTGCATAGACCACAAGGAGGCCGTCCTTGACCTCTCTCCTCTTCCCTCCAACCTCCTCCACTTCCCCCTCTACGTCCTCCTCCGCCTCCTCCTCCTTCTCCTCGTCCCGCCTCCGTCCCTTTCCCTACCTTCTCTCTCTGCTAATGCGCGTCTCCCTCCTCCACCTCCTCCTCCTGCTCCGCCACCTCATCCATTGCTCCTCCTCCTTCTCCTTCTCCTTCTCCTTCTCCTCCTCCTCCTCCTGCATGTCCTCCCTGACAAAGGCGGGATACTTCCCCGAGGAGGAGGAGGATGAGGCGGGGCCCGAGTAAACGCTCCTATAAGGTGTTCATGATTTTCGCCTCTCAAGGGCGCCGAGCGCAGCCCGTGGTGTGTGTGTGTGTGTGTGTGTGTGTGCGCGTGTCTGTGTGTGTGTGTGTGTGTGTCTGTGCGGAACGCTACGTTTGTGGAGCCCAATGCGTGTGGAGCATGATGTGTATGTGTGTATGTGTGGCGATCCCCTATGGCTGGATCCAGCGTCTCTTCGGAGCCGGGCCAGTGCACGCTTCTCCGAAACTTTCTACTCCGCGACGCTGCGCGCGAGGCCGCGACACCGAAAAGTGTTTGTGTATGTGTATGCGTGTGGGTTCTCCACATCGCTGGAGCAATAACCTCGGCCCAGCCGCCGACGTCGTGGTGGTGGTGGTGGTGGAGGAGGAGGGGGAGAAGGAGGAGGAGGAGGAGGAGGAGGAGGATATAGGAGGATAGGAGGAGAGGAGGAGGAGGAGGAGAGGAGGAGGAGGAGGAGGGAGGAGGAGAGGAGGAGGAGGAGGAGGAGGAGGAGGAGGAGGAGGAGGAGGAGGAGGAGGAGGAGGAGGAGGAGGAGGATGAGGGAGGGCGAGGAAGGAGGAGGAAGGAGGGAGGGCGAGGCCTGTGACAGAATAAGGAAGGGGGAAGGGAGGAGAGAGGGAAGGAGGGAGGAGGAGGCAGGGCGAGGAGGGGTGCGCCAAGCTCCCGCCCACCCCCGTGTGCCATCTCGCGCCGCGGGCGAGGCCTCTGTGGCACTGCGGCGCGAGCTGCCGCGGGCGGCTGGCTGAGGGAGGGGGGGGGCTGTCGGCCGCTGGGCGGCGGCGATCCTCGACGCCTTTTGAGGTCTCGGTGGTTCCTCCTTCGCCTCGGCTGCCTCGTCCTCGTCCGTCTTCTCGTGCTCATCCGCTTACTTTCATATTCTCTTTTCTCTTTGTGCTCATTGTTTTTTCCTTTCGACCGCATGCCGCCACCGCTGCTCGAGCGCGGGCTTTCCCCGGCAGACCGGGGAAAGCTCTGGGGAAAGCTCTCAAGACTCCGTAAATGGTCTGGGGGCCGACGCCGACGACCTGTATGCCGCATGGGCTGCGGCTCCTCCTCGTCCTCATCATCATCATCTCTTCTCCTCCTCCTCCTCCTCCTCCTGCTCTCGGTTCCCCTCCTCTTGCTCCTCCTTCTCTTTTTACTTCCCCTCCTCCTCTTACTCTTATTCCCCCACCCTCGGTCTCGATCACCCACATCCCGGAGGGTCGCCTCACGGGCTTGGACGTTGACGACGACGACCTCTTCGGGCTTGCTGAGCATGTCGACGTGGAGGAGCGCGATCTCCAGGAGGCGGCCAACCGCAAGGCACTCCTGGCGACCACCAACAAAGACACCTGCTCCAGGCCGGCCGGCAAGCTCAAGGATAAGGCCACCAAGCTCAAGGCAGAGCAGGCGGAGCAGCGGGCACGCCTCCTCCGCAAGAGGCGCAGAGGGGACGCCTCTGCATCGGTTCACGGAGCCGCTCCCGAGCCCGCCCAGCCTCGTGAAGCTGCACCTCCTGCCGTAGCGGATGCCACAGGAGTTCGCGCTGCACCTGGCGCTCAACTAGGGCTCCCAACTTCGCGCTTCGCGCTGCGCGAAGCGCGAAGCGCGACTAACTTCGCGCTCTCGCGCAGCCCTCCCAAAGGGAGAAGAGGAGGACGAGGAGGAGGGGGAGGAGGAACGAGGACCGCGAAGCGCGAAGCGCGAATAACTTCGCGCCCTCGAGGGAGCCCTTGACTCAGGTGCCGCCGCGTCGCAGGCACCGCCAGAGGTTGCCCCGTCTGCCGACCCTGCCCACGTGCGAGACCGGGCCAGGCAGGCCGTGCAGCGCGGAGCGGGATCGGCGGAGGGGGCCCCTGGTGCCAAGCCAGCGCGTGGGTAACGTGTCTGCGGCGAAGAGCTTCGTCCCCAACCCCATGGTCCAACCCTCCTGCCCAGTTTTGGATGCCTCACGCGCGTCGTCAGTGCATCGCAGCTTGGGGGGCCAATGGGAATCTCAGAGTTTGGAAGTCGTTACCGCGAACTGCACTTCATTGTCATCGACGAGGCTCTTCCTGCCCACTACCACGGCCCATGTGGTGATACGCCAGGAGCACAAGCTCACCAACGATGAGGAGGTACGTAACGCACAAGCTTGGTGTCTTCGAAACGGGTGGAAGTCACATTTTGAATCAGGTACCCTGGGGCCCAACGGAGGAGCCTCAGCTGGTGTGGCTGTGCTCGCTCGTGCCTTCTTGGTTGGGATTTCATATCCCCGATTTTTGTGTTCAGCTTACGGCGAACCGCGCCACTGGAGTCTTGATTCACCTTCCAGGGCAAAGTTCGTTTTTTTGTTGTGTCTGTTTACCTTCAGGACTGCGTCGGGCTGAATGATTTCAATCAGGACCTTTTGGCCTCAGTGGCCGCCAAGGTGAAAAGCATATATCGGTCCCGCACATTATCGGTGGAGATTTCAACATCGAGCCATCAAGCCTGTCCACTTCGTATGTGCATAGGTGCCTGGGGGCCTGGGGTCCCAGATACTGTTTCCATCGGATATATTCGGCACTGCCGCTCGACCGCAGGAGCCAAGATGTGCGATTACCTCCTGGTGGGGGCCATGATGGCGCAGGCAGTTGCTCGGGTCAAAGTAGTCGGCGACTCGGGGCTGGCCACTCCCAACCCTGTCTCTGTCGCCCTCCACCCCCAACTCTCCCACTTGAAAGCCTTGAGTTTCAGTGCCCCCCGCCCTTCCAATCCGTTCGGCCTGTGGGACCTGCTCCCGCCCCTCCTCGGGACTGGGGCCATGTGGGCCGCGTGTCGGAGAAGGCCCTTCAGGGTGCCAGTGAAGGGGGCAAAGACCGCACCAAGTGCGACCTCGACGTCCTCTATCGTGAGTAGGCGGTCCTCGCGGAGCGAGAGTTGTCTGGAATGTTTCAAGTCCCCCTCCCCTTCACTGGAAGCCGTGGCACGCAAGCTCTGCTCTGTTGGGTCAATGTTGTGAAGGATTCCTCGGAAGCCATCCCGCCCTCTGTCACTTCGAGCACCGCCGCGCAGTTGCGTTGGCTGTGCAATCGGTTTCGCCTGTGGATGCAGCTCCATGCGCTTAGAGATCAGCCCGCTGGCGCCATTTCCTCATCCTCATGCGGCGCTGGAGTCGCCTGCGACGCTGCTGGTGGCGAGACCACTAGCACCTTGAAGGCTTCGTCAGACCCAGAAGGTCGGCGGCGCCAGCATTTACACGAATTCGGCCGCTCGCTGTGTTCGCCACCTGCGAGCCTTGGAGAATGGTCGACTGAGTCTCTTCGCCACCTCTGTGCCTGTCAGGAAGTGGTTGGTTTGGGGGTCCCCGATTTGGAGGGGCATTCGGCCCATGCGTTGGATTCGGTTTCCCTTGGCCTCAGCGAGGCCGATTCCATGGCCAAGTCGGCCAACTACAAAAATGGTTGTCCTGGCTTCGCGCGAATATCGAAAACGGAGCGCGCCGCGCACAATGAGTTGTTCGGGGGGCCCCTGGGTGGACGCCCACCACCGCCCTCGCGGCCAAAAGGGAAGTGGTGTCTGATCCAGGCTCCCTCCTCTCCTCCGAGCTTGATACTTTTGCTCGCGTTTGGCTTGCCCAGGATGAGGCCCCTCCGCATGTCCAAGGCGTCAAGTTTCGATCGACCGATCCGCTGCTCCCTCTCGAGCCTCAGGACCCGAGAAGGGTTGCTCGGTCGCTTCCTGCTCGCGCTGCCTCCTCGGTAGACGGGTTTCGCTTGCGGGACTTTCAGTGGCTCTCGGATGAGGCCCTCGCGGTGCTCAGTCGTCTGATGGGGTGCTCGAGAGATCGGGGCTGCTCCCTGGTCAGATGCGGATCGTGCTCCTGGCCGTGCTCGCCAAGCCTGATGGAGGACGCCGACCGATCGGCCTGTTCTTTTCGGTCTATCGTCTCTGGGCTCGCG